GGCTGACAAACGACCAGATCGACTTACAACCTGTCAGTCAGAATGGAAGTAGGTCATAAGTCGACAACCAAGTGTATTTTCTAATTTTTATGGTTTTGGACAGCAAATGAGAAGACGAAAGGTTCTGGACCGAATGGTAGCAAGCATTACCCAAGTTCAGTCTCCTATTAATTTCCTCCTCAATCAGGTTTTGATTTTTTATCATTGTTCCCAAATATCTGAACTGTGCCACATTTTCAAAACATCTGTTTTCTATCTTTATGTTCTGATTTTGCCCTGCATTTTGGTGATGAGACAGCAACATATACTTAGATTTCTCTGTGTTTACTTCTAGACCAACCTTCTTACTTGCATCAATTAAAGTTTGTGTGTTTTTCTTTATGATATATATATATATATATATCATCTCCCAGTAGATTCACATTATTGGCATACACCAACAGCTGATGTGTCCCCTTTAATTTCAGTTCCACCTGTTTTTCCTGGACCTTCCTAATGACATATTCTAAAGCAAAGTTGGAAAGGAGTGCAGATAAAGCATCTCCTTGGTTTAGACCATTCTGGATAGGAAATTTATCAGACAAATGTTTACCGATATGGACTTTACTATACCTTTCATTTAAACACGTTTGAATCAGCCTTGCCAGTTTAATGGGTATCCCAAACTCTATCAGAATATTGTACAATACTTCCCTTTTCACTGAATCCATAGGCTTTCTTAAAGTCTATGAATAGCTGATGCACTGCCTCATTGTCCTCCCATTTTTTCTCCAATATCTGACAAATGCAAAATATCTGATCTGTTGTTGATCTGTTACTTTGGAACCCACACTGGTGATTCCTAATAATTTCATCTGTATTTGGACCTAACCTTGAGAGAAGAATATTGGATAAAATTTTGTATGAAGTTGTGTGTGTGTGTGTGTGTAATTAAAGTACACTAGTAATAAGAGATGCCATGTTAGGCAGGTCCCTTGTCACCACGGCATGGTGTGTCCTCAGACTGCAGATGGAGGAGACCTGCAGATATGGAGGGTAGCTGGGAATGTATTAAATAAACAGTCAATGACAGCCAGCTTGGAGGTTGGACATAAGGATGATAACTCACTGTAAAAAATAAGCTCATTATGAAAGACCAGAAGAAGCCTCAGGCATGGACAGATTCCCTGGCCAAACGACCTAAGTGAAATAAAATGTATATGCCCCCTTTTTTAGCTTGTTAAGGTTATGTATCATTGTGATGTCCAGTTGTTTCCTTTTTGCTGTGTTTTGGGGCACAGAGAAAAGGAAACAACTAGACATCACAGCAATACAGGACCTAAACAAGATGAAAGAAGGGGCATCATTTCATGGAACTCTGAAGACTCCAAATAATACCCTAACTTTCCATTTTAACAGAAGAGGCACATGGACACAAACCATATCTGTTCAATATCTTAAATATTAGACATTACTAAGATTTTAATCCAAATAATTATAAATAACTTTTTAGATAAAAACATAAGCATGTATTACAAACTTTGTAATAGTAGTTCATAAACATGTTGATCTCATGCCTTCTTAAGATGGTCACAGCTGACCAAAACATGTAAACGGGATAAATATCCACAAATTAAATCATAATGGATGGTGTTATCAGTTATTCTATAATTAATTCACTAGTGTGATGGACCAGAATGAATAAAGTTAAAATCTAAACCTGATTCAGGATAAAATTAAGGGGAGATTGAATTAAGGTAATGCTTGATACCATTGATTCCAGTACCTTTTATCATCGTGTCTGGTGTCTAAAAACATAGCAATTAGAATACATAAAATTATAATTTTGCCTGTGGTTCAGTACGGCTGTGAAACTTGGTCTCTGACATTAAGGGAGGAACATAAACTGAGGGTGTTTGAAAAGAGGGTGCTGAGGAGAATATTTGGATTTCACTGAAGGGTGTTTGAGAGCAGGGTGCTGAGGAGAATATTTGGATTGAAGAGAGAAGAAGTTGGAGAAAGCTACATAATGAAGAGCTTTATAACTTTACTTTTTGCCAAGTATAATTAGAACGATCAAGTCAAGGAGGATGAGATGGGCATGTCATGTGGCATGAATGGGGTAGAAGACGAATGCATATAGGATATTGTTGGGAAAGCCAGAAGGAAAGAGACTGCTAGGAATACCAAGATGCAGATGGGTGGACAGCATTAAAATGGATGTTAGAGAGAGAGGATGGGATGGGATTGACTGGATTGATCTGGCTCAGGATAGGAACCAGTGGAGGTCTCTTGTGAACATGGTAATGAAGCTTTGGATTCCATTAAATGCTGGGAAGTTTTTGAATAGCTGAACAATTGGCAGCTTCTCAAGAAGAGCTCAGCTCCATTAGTGGGTGAGTAATAACAAATGATTGAGAATGAGGATTTGAACTATATTCAGGATTATTCTCTAATACTTGCATGCAGCTTTAACAGCCCCAGGCACTGTATATATAATGGCAAGAGTAGAGAGTAAATTTCACAGTATTGATGGGTGTTCTCTGTTAAGTCTGTGCCAGGGAAGAAGAAATTGATAGGAATGTTAATAACATTTTTGATATATGTTGAAAAAGCTTTCCATGTTAGGTGGGTCCCTGTCACCATGGCATGGCGCGTCCTCAGGTTCCGGATGGAGGAGATGAACTCCAGTTTTGGAGGGAAGCTGTGAATATATTGAATAAGCAGTCATGGACAGCCGACAAGGGGTGGCCCTTCAGCTTGGGGGTTGGGCGTGGGGCTAACAACTCCTCACCGTAAAAAATAAGTATGTTACGAAAATGAACACAAAGCCTCAGACCTGGACTGATTCCTTGGATAAACGACCTAAGCTAATGAAATGGAATATGAGATTTGGCACTTGGAATGTACGAAGTTTGTATAGGGCAGGTTCGCTTAGGGCAGTGGCAGAAGAAATCTTAAAATATAAGTTAGATTTAGCGGGAGTACAGGAGGTCAGATGGGATGGAGGTGGCATCGCACCAGCAGGAGCCTATACATTTTTCTATGGAAAGGGGAATGAAAATCATGAATTAGGTACAGGTTTTTTCGTACATAAGAGAATCATATCAACAGTTAAGAGGGTAGAATTCATTAGTGAGAGGATATCATATATAATACTAAAAGGTCGCTGGTGTGATATCATTGTTATGAACGTTCATGCCCCAACAGAAGATAAAATTGATGACATAAAGGATACATTCTATGAAGAACTAGAACATGTATTTGATAAATTCCCGATGTACCCTATGAAAATTTTGTTAGAAGATTTCAATGCCAAAGTAGGGAGGGAAGACATTTTCAAACCAACAATCGGGAATGAGAGTTTGCGTGAAATTAATAACGATAATGGAGTTAGAGTAGTAAACTTTGCCACATCAAAAAATCTTACTGTCAAAAGTACAATGTTCCCACATCATAACATCCATAAATTTACTTGGACATCTCCTGATGGGAAGATACACAATCAAATAGACCATAAATATTATAGACAGGAGACGGCACTCAAGTATACTTGATGTCTCATCATTCAGGGCAGCAAATTGTGATACTGACCACTACTTGGTGGTGGCAAAGGTTAGGGAAAGACTGTCAGTGAGCAAACAAACAACACACAGAGTTCATATGGAGAGGTTCAATCTCAAGAAATTAAATGAGGTAGAGGTAAAAGAGCAGTATCGTGTTAAAATCTCAAATAGGTTTGCGGCTTTGGAAAACTTGGACACTGAGGTGGATGTCAATAAAACTTGGGAAACTATTAGAGAGAATATAGAAATGTCTGCCAAAGAGAGTCTAGGTTATTATGAACCGAAGAAGCATAAGCCATGGTTCGATGAAGGATGCACAAAATTATTAGATCAAAGAAAGCAGGCCAAATTGCAGTGGTTACAGGATCCAAATGAGTTAAAAGGTGATAATCTAAACAATATAAGACGTGAAACCAGCAGGCATTTCAGGAACAAAAAGAGGGAATATCTGAAAGACAAAATTGATGAGCTTTCAATGAACAGTAAGAACAAGAATATTAGAGACCTGTATAGAGGAATAAATGACTTTAAACGGGGTTACCAGCCTAGCAGTAACTTTGTGAAGGATGAGAATGGTGATCTGCTTGCAGATTCCCACAATATTTTTAATAGGTGGAGGAACCACTTCTCTCAGTTATTGAATGTACATAGGGTCAGTCATGTTAGGCAGACAGAAATCGATACAGCTGAGCCGTTAATACCTGATCCTAGCCCTTTTTGAGGTTGAAAATGCTATTGCAAAATTGAAACGGTATAAATCGCCAGGTAGTGATCAAATTCTACTTGCCAGACTTAGCTCCTTTGATTTCGCTTTGTCTCCCAAATTGAAAATGAACCTGAAGGGATGACGTTTTGAAACAGTATCTGACATCCAAAGGAATCACATACAGTACTCGAGAGCATTAAGGAAACTGACTTCCATGGTGCTTTGAAGCTTGGAGAAAACGATTGGATCACTGTATACATTCCCAAGGAAACTATTTTGAAGGAGATGGCAGCCAAAATTAAATTAAGCCAGCATTTCGTTTTTCACCTTATCTGAGAACTTTCTGATAGCATCTTGTACATAGCATCACATCCCAGAAGACTGTAATCTTAATATTCAGTACTGTGGGAACCTCAGACCTCATTTTGTATCCTTAATATTTACTGCCAATAGAATCTCAGATTGTACATGTCTAATATGGAATTTGGATTAAATAGAATCCTGTATTTGTCAGAAAGTGGCTCGTCTCAAAAATGTAGTCTGGAGGCCAATAAAATTTTGCCTGTAATAAATGGAAACAGCTGAACCTTAAACAAAAAAGGAAAATATGAATTTAACCGAAAATAGTATGTTGTTAATGTTCAGTTTTCTGTCCATTTCATTTAACCCAGCTATCAGCAAGACAGATGCAGATTACTGGAGAAAGAAAAGAAAGTTGAGATTGTAGACTGTTAAATAACAATGTAATGTACAATATACTCGTAGCTTGTATTTCTTGCATCACAAAACATATATACATGGGAGATGTATGATGAAATATTTTTTGTCTCTTAATAGGACACTTTAATTACCATTTGTCTGAAACAGAAAAATGGGCAGATCCCCTGGAATTATGTTATAATGTGTTTCACTGTACTCACATTTATTTTAAAGCTGAATACTGGCAGCATATACTATTTATTTTTTAAATTAATTTAATTTGCTTCAGAATAATACATTACAGGTGTTCATTTTCGGAAACACCAGTGTAGAGTAATGAGTACAGGCACTGGAATGGGACAAATTGTACTCCAATGCTCACACCTTTTTTTGTTTTTAACATACTGATTATGCAATGATAATTTTTTGTGCATACTTTATAGTCAAAATTAGCTCATGTACCAGACTAGACCTTATGTAGTTGAACTGCATCTGGCCAAACATATTCAGTTGATTAAAACTGACCTTGACATAACTACCATTTTGCAGTACAACTGTTTTTTTTAGCTGAAGCTATTAATTTGAGCTGCGGCAATTTGAGTTATAACGTTTCTGTCTTCCATTAGTCAAAAATGTTGAAGAAGTGTTACCGCCTATGTCTTCTTCATCTTCGAAACTTAAACTATAGTCAAGCATGTTCTGCTTTCTTTGATGTTTTGGTGACCTGCTGAGCCGAGGGGAACGTGTGAGGCGAGGTGACCTTTTGTTCATCTGTTTCTCCACCCATTTTAACATTGTAAGTACAGCATCTGGTCCCTCAAGTCGAAAGTTGGCCCCTGTTCTCACTGTTGGTGATGAGTCCACTCTGAATGTACAGGCAATGCCAGACAAGGCCTGCATGGCAGCCTCATTGCCAGCATAGACAATCCTCACTCTCTCAGACCAGTCTGCCCCATACATGGTACGTAGAATATGGATGCATGCCCGACCTTGGTCCCATTTGACTGGAGGCTTGGCTTCGATTGCCATATGTGCTTCATGAGGTTCGAATCCAGCTTTTTGGAAAATGTTGCAAGCTCTTCTCACAATTTCATCCCTCTGCTGTGGTGGAGTCTCCCGATAATGGAAAGTGAGAAGTACACCTTTGTGTTCTACCCAGGCTCCACTATGACCCACTTCCTTCTCCAGATCGTGTACCAGTTCTCGAAGTTTCTCAGCATATTCAAATGGTACTGGATGAACAAATTTGGTTCCATCAGGGTGAAGTATTTCAATTCCATGACTCCCTGCATATGTGAGTTGATCCAGTCCCACCATCTTCTTCACATTTTCTAGGTTTCGACCTGAAATTATGGCAATGTTTACATCTGGCATGTTAGATAAACGCTCCAGAACACGCTTTGTTTCTTCTGGCATAATTGCCAAGTCTGGGTGTGAGGTTAGAGGTGCCAGAGTCCCATCATAATCCAGAATGAGGCTCAGTTTGCAAATTGTGTCCACGTGGTTGTTCAAGTATTGATCAAAATCATCAAGAGTCAGTGGTGTCATCTTAGTTGACAGAGGATCAGCTTCGTCTGAATTATTAACAGCACCCATACTGGCAAGGAATGAATTCATCCAGTAATTGACATCCATCTGCTGTTCTCGGTGTCTCAGTTGTTTCATGCGCACCTCTCGTTCATCCAGTGGCATGTGAAGGGCTCTGTGAATTGTGTCAGCAGCCTTGTCAATCTCATAGGGGTTCACCACAAGAGCTTCATGCATCATGCCACCAGCACCAGCAAATGGTGACAGTATGAGAACTCCAGGCTCCTTGATTTGGCATGCTACATATTCTTTTGCCACCAAGTTCATTCCATCTCTGAGTGGCGTGACCAAGGCTACGGCAGAGTCACGATAGAAAGCAGCCAACTGTTCCTGGGTTACTCCACCGTAGATATAACGAATAGGAGACCAGTTGGGCATAGAGAAGCGGCCATTGATGCGTCCCACAAGTTGGTCCATCTCCTCTTTGAGTTGACGGTATTCTCGAACATCTGTGCGTGAGGGGACAGAGATCTGCAACAGCGTCACTTTCTCCACGTGCTCCGGATATTTCTCCAGCAGGCGTTCAAATGCCAGAATCCTGTGAACTAAACCTACACAGAAAGAAAACAAGAAATATGGCATGATAGTCTTTGCAACAAACATGTAGTGAGCATGGTTTGTCTGACCATCTGTCAGTGAGCATGTTTCATGACAAAAGTACCTGATGGATTTTGTTTTGAAATGTGATTATAAAAGTTCTTGATTGTAATTGAATACATTTCTCTGGAGTCTTTTACAAAGTGTATTTCTTGCAATTGTCCATCTGCACATGGTGCAAATGAACAGTTGCAAGAAATAAACTTTGTGATATTTCTTGTATTAATTTCGGTGTTATTAGTATTCTGCATAAAACTGCAGCATAACTCACCAAAATGGCTTGAGATAAGATTTGGCCACTCTTATAAACCATTATGACTTGGATTCAAACATACTGTGCACATTTAAAGAAATACAAGGAAAGTGCTTCACTGTAACATGCAATATTGTTTCTATGCTGTTGATTAGCATTGGCAATAATAGGATTTTTAGTGTACCATCTATAATGCTCTATAGTTGATTCAGGGATGCTATCAATAGCCTAGATCAGTGGTTCTCAAACTTTTTACCTCTGAGCCCCCCCTGAAAAGAGAAAAATACTCTCAGGCCCCCAGCCTGTTCTTTTTTTTTTTTTTTATCAAAATAGAAGTCATGGTATGTTTGACGTTTCATTCAGTTTATTTTGTGTTTTTCTACATACTATTTAGCAGTTTTCTTACTCAAAATTAAAGTATCACAATACTAGGCCTACAATACAAAATTAGTTTTAACACTTGCAATTAACCAAAATATGTATTGAAATGAAACGATATTTAACTAACAAGTATTTAATTTTTTCTGCAAAGAAAATCAAATATTTTAATGTCAAAGTTCAGTGTGATGGATGGGCCTGCTTTTGAGAACAAAGTTTATCAAAACGTGGCATAATATCAGAAATGGCCACTCTAACTTCTTTAGCAATATTTAGCCTTGAACAATACTTTGACTTTATAGCTGCCAAAGCAGAAATCCTGTTTTGCATAAGTAAGTTGCTGCGAAAGGAATCAGGATTTTCAATGCTTTTTGGCTCAAAGTTTGGAATTCCGTGCCAATATGTATCCAGAACTCCAACAAAGACAATTCCATAAATTTACTTTTTAAGGAAGTATCACTAGTGAGATGGATGAGTTGTTCTTGCTCATTTACATTCAGAGATGATGCCCCAGGAGCATTTTTGAATGGATTTTTAATCCAATTAAATTCATCAAAATCATTGCAGAAGTATTTTTCGAAATGAACTTTCAACATTATGAGATGATCAAGTAGGCAGCTTTTTATGTCCATCGGAAGCACTGGATTATCAGTGTTTCTCCAGAGCTCTAATTTTCTCATGAATGCCTTCACATTGTCATTCCAAGAAAGTACAGTTGCCTCATTCCCTTGAAGTGAAGTTTCTCAAATATATCTGTGAGGTAAGCCATTTTCAATAAAAAAAATCCTTGTTGATGAAACTGTCTGCCAGTGAGTGATTTCCCCCATTTAAAAAACAGGACACCTCATGCCTGAGCTTAAACATTCTCTTTAATACCTTGCTTCTTGAAAGCCATCGAGCATCACTAAAAAACAACAGAGCAGTGTGTTCGGCACCCATTTCCTCACACAGCATTTTAAAAAGTCTAGACTTCAGAGGATTTCAGAGGATGCGGCTGCTGCCGAACTATCAACGCTGTCTCTGGAATACGCGTTTTATAATTTCCGGTTAAGAGACTAATTATTAGTTATTTTGAAATTCATGATAATTAAAACCTGTACTCATCAAAAGTGTTTCTATATGTATTTTTATTTTTTGTTACTTTTCTAATTGATTTAGGGCAGTTTTAATTTTTATCTGTAGGAAAGTATACTGCGCCCCCCTTTCAAGCCCTTCGCCCCCCCCCCTGGGGGTCGCGCCCCACAGTTTGGGAACCACTGGCCTAGACCATTGCTTTTCATACTCCTTACATCACAACCCGCTGTAAGGAATACATTTTCGCTGGGATCTAAAAAATATATAGACAGATTATATTTTCCATGTCAAGCTTCACCTTTTTGGATGTCGCGACCGTTGGCTGTCAACTGCCTCTCTGGCCTGATTATATAGCCTCGGCATGGACCTTGTAGAGAACACTGCTTCCAACAGTTCTTCTATTGCTGATTGTACATTCCTTGCCGAGCAGTACGCCCACTTTTTAAATTATCCGTTGCCTTGCAATGGACTTTGTAATCACGTCACGATATAATTATGCACGTTTTAGAAAAATAACAAATAATCTAATATCCGTGATTTTTTTTATGTGGGGAAACCTAAAAACAAAGGGCTTTAAAATAATACCCATGTACTGGATTAACTTAAGCACGTCTGTTAAATTGTTGCATTTGTCAATGGAAGTTAAACAAGTGTCAGACGGTCTCTGCAAGAGGCTTGAAGTTTGTTTAGGGGCAGAATGAAGATGTTTTGAGCACCTGTGAGGATGAGTTATTCTGAACCTTTTTTTCTTTTCTTTTTTTTACTTTATGAAATTGCGTGGCCGCGTTTATAATGCGCGGGATATTAGCGGCCGATATAGACTCCTTTTTCTCGGGAATTATGGTTCCGGCTAACAAGCCGATGGTAAGAAAGTCGATATGGTTCTTCGAGAATAACTGTTACAACTTCCTGCTGACAATAGGACGGTAAGAGAGTCAGGCAACTTGGTTCATTGAGAAAAGCTCTGTATAACTACCACATTCCATGGAATTGACAGAAATGAAAAGAGAACTGAACAGAACCGAAGAGAAATAGTGTCAAATATATAGAGTTTGATTTTAGTTCTTAGGTTTCTGCGACTGGCGATAATTGTATGGCTTCATTTTTTGGAAGATGGCAACTAAAATTTTGCAGAATTCCAGGAAAACCTTTGACATTCTACGCGGCCGATTCCCAAAAGCCGAGGTCACACATGTGGAGTTTAAGTTGTCAGTTACGATGTCATATTTTATTGGAGACACACTCCGATAAAAGTGATATTATTCGAAATTACAATAGTAAACTCATCTTCAATGTCACTTGCAATAATATACAAAATATGTACCTGAATTATATGTTCAGAACATATCTGATAATTCAGTTTCGTAGTTGTAGCATGTTGTAGTTTATGCATATATTGGAATAGTTATTATAAAAACATCAAGGTGTGCCTTTGTTTTGTCATTTTGGAATAATGTCACTTTCAATCATTGTATTCGACGGAAATACGCCTTAAATGGTAAGAACGTGCCACAACAGGACGATTCAATTAGGAATTACGTAGAGTTTACGTTTGTATTTCTAATTCCTTTATTGAGTTATAAAATTAAAAAAAAAAAACAATAATTTTGAACACTTCACTGACGTTTATACGGGGAAATTTATTTTACAGCACATTACTTGGCAAACCGCGACCTAATGAATTACACCCCACGACCCACTGATGGGTTGCGATCCGCAGCTTGAAAAGCATCTGCACGGAGGGGCTGAGGAGAACCAGGAAAATGAGGTTAGCCGGTCTCCGGGCCAAGATTTGAATTCGAGATCTCCAGAATACCAGACAGGAGTTCTGAATCCCCTCTGCATTTCTGCAGTACATGACCGTGAAGGTACACTTGACAAACATGTTTACCCTAAACTGGACGAAGCTGTCACGGTGTTTGTCACAGCTCGTATTGTTCCGGTACCTGTCTGGAGGGAGTCGCCGAGGTGGCCTGTCCCCGTGCCTCTCGACAGCCAACGGAATTACAGTTAAACACTGGTGACTGATACTGTGTCCGCATTTCCTCGCATTATTCTACAGAAAGTCTGCTTTTCAGTGGACGAGCCGTTATGTACAGTTTCGATCACTGCATCCATCACTTCACACAGTTCTGCGCATAATTCCTTCGTAGCCAGTGATTCACGATGTATCATTCAGTGTGTTCACATAGCCTTCAGTGCTGATGATTTAGTTAAGGCCTTCAGTCAGTCTCTATTTCCCGCCATTACGCTAGCTGGATAGGTGCATACTCCAACACAGTCTAATCATTTTATGATTTTTCTTTCATGAAATCATCTACAATTTTGAAGAGTTCTTTTGCTGTAAATCTTCTTTTTATAGGTGTGCAGAAAAACATGTCTTCATTAATTGCTGTGCCTTCAAAACATTGACGTAAATTATCAAGAGACCAATACCACTAGAAACAGTTTCTTTCTCAATGTATATTGAAAAGAAAAGTGTTTGTCAACTTCTCAATAAGCTGTTCTACGTCTTCTGATAGATCAGCATTCCTTTGAAAGACGGTGTTATATTACGAACCTGTTGAGCACATACACGGTGTGTCCAGGATCCGTTAGGAGTTTTTTTTTTTTTTGCTCTGCAATGTCATCTGTTGGCGAGTTGTGGCGTTAAGATTCTTGAAGTTTCAGCTGTGGCTGACTATAATTTCAAAGCACAAGCATTGCAGCATCACGTGTTCTGACCCTGAATGTAACAGTACTGTTCTGACGCTCGTCGGAAAATGGCGGTTGAACAGAGAGCCAACATCAAATTTTGTTTGAAGTTAGGCAAAACAGCCGGAGAAGCGTATGAAATGAGAAAAAGTGTGTACAGTAGTGATTGTATGAGTCTCTCTAACATTTTTCGACCGTATGCTATATTTCGTGACGGCAGAGAGGATGTTTAAGACGCTCCACGTGCATCAAAGCCGAAAACAAGTTGCACTGAAGAAAATGTGAAAAAAGTGACCGAAATCCTTGCAACAGACAGATGTGTTTCTGCAAGACTCATCGTGAAGCTTTTGGGAATACCAAAAAGTACTGTGTATCAAATTTTGTCCGAGGATTTGGGCAAACGGAAGGTCTGTGCACGGTTTGTACCGCACGCGCTGTCAGGCGATGAAAAACATGCCAGAATGGAACACTGCGAAGACATGTTACGGTCGGCCCAAAGTGATACAAAATTTAAAAAATCGATTGTTACTGGTGACGATACTTGGTGTTTTCAATATGAACCTCTCACAAAGCGGCGTGCAGCGTGATTGAGCCCAAAGAAACCGAGACCAAAGAAAGTGGCATGCAAAAGAGTCGAGTAAAGACACTGCTAACCGTTTTCTTCGATTCCAAAGGAATTGTTCACAAGGAATTTCTGTCAGAAGGTCAAACAGTGAATTCTGATTACTATAATCGTTTGTGGGCGAGAATTCTTCGAATTCGACCTGAATATCGAGAGCAAGGTTCCTGGTCGCTCCTCCACGACAGTGCCCCACCCCACAAATCGAAGAACGTTCGTGATTTTTTGGCCAGAAAAGGGATCACAGTCCTTGATCATCCTCCGCATTCGCCAGATTTGGCTCCAGCAAATTTCTGGTTGTTCCCAAATGTTAAGTTGAAGATGAAAGGATACCGTCACGACACCATCCAGGACATCCAGAGCAATTGTACGGCACTTTTAAATGCGATTCCACAAAAGGAGTACAGTGGCTTTTTCGAAAACTTTTCATTCGATTCCATCTATGTATTGATTCAGAAGGATACTATTTTCAATAAAAAGAGTGAAATTTTGAAAATAATTCACATCTTGTATTTTTAATTAACACAGTCCTAACAGAACCTGGACACACCCTTTACCAGATTTTTTCTGAGAATTATTGGGTCTGGAACCAGCCTCGTGATGATAATTGTGGAGCTGTTTCAAAGAAATAGCGGCTCCAGTGTAGAAAACCGATATTAACGGCCGTGGGGATTCGTTGCGTTGACCACGTGGCACTCTGTATCCGGAAATTTGGCATTAAACTTCGCCGAAAAGCGGCGGTCGCTCGGTCGGTGTAGTTCGCTTGCGGACTAAAATCATGGAGTTTTCTTTTAACACATACTTCACCGAACATTGTTTGCACCATATATGTCGCAACAGGGTGTATCACATTTTAAGCGACCGTGTGCAACTTCTTGTCTTGTGCTACTCTGTATGACACATGATTAGATGCTAAGAGGGCTTTGAATGGTGGAGTAATAGTGTTAAGGAAACTTTTGCTCGATGCGAATTTCAAACGTTTTCTAAGGAAGTATTTTTCGGGCTTGTTTTTCATTTCTGAATGTTTCGTTTCAAAGTGCCACTTCAGTTCATTTGGCTTCATACTGCCAGCTGCTAACATACTGAGACACAAAACACAACGAAGTCGTTCTTGACTGTTAACTATAGCACTCGTGAAACCTACAACAAATACGATTCGTCATAGTTACGGATTTTGATTTCGTTACAACCCCGACTACTATTTCCTGTTGGTTCGTCGTCTGCTTTTATTTTTATACCCTTTAAAAATCTGTGCATTTTCTACATTTCTGAACACACCACTTATTAGTACTCAACTCTGGACTGTAACGATTACACGTGGTAAACATTGCGGGATGTATGTTCTGCTTGTGTACACTAAGGAACTAACATATTTACATGTTAACGCATCGTATTCTACGTACTATATCATAGAAATGCTACTACGTCAACGAAGCCTATCTCTGAAGAACATCTGCAATATAAATGTCTTTAGTCACTAACTTACACCAGCAACGATAGCTTCACTAGGTCTGTAACGACAGTTGCATTGCTCGGGACTCAGCTTTCCGACCCTAGAGGATGGAGAAAAGTGAGGGGTGGAAATGGCCACCTTGAGAGTTGAGTAGTTTTCTCGTACTTTATAACAACGGTGGTTTGAGGTGGTTTAATGGTAAATTTGCTAGGACTCCTCACAGAGCCACAAGCTGAGTCCTTAGCAGTACGCTGACTTATATTATCGTTTACTTCGTAAAACCACCAATGCTCTACAAATTTAAATTCTATAGTATTACATGACAACTAAACTACCTTAACCAAGACAAGGATTTTAAAAAACTTGGTCCATATTTCTTTTAAAATAGTTTTTCCTACAAACAAGAACACCCCTTCCAGAAAACCGCTCGCCCCCCCCCCCCAGGGAGGCGCGCCCCACACTTTGGGAACCTCTGAACTAAAATATGCTCCTGAAAACTTATAACAATAGACTTATGTAAAACTGATTTCATTACGAATGAAACGATGTAAATATCCCTACTTCTTTTAAAAGAGTGGTAACATTTAATTTTAATCAATTTTGATACTAGTAAAAGGTGATTTTTTACTACGTATGTGGACTTTACGTATCCTGCATAGGTATACGTACTACGTGTCGATCAACACTGGTTTTCCATTCGGATACAGAACTACTTTTTAATAAAAATTATCTGTTGCTAAGTGACGGAAACTAATTGCTTGGACTTGCCTTTTGTGTAATCCAGTCTATCGACGCCGAGGATGATCTTCTCAGACTCTGCCAGTTTGAGGAACCGTGGCGTGTTTTCGGCTAGCTGCACAAAGCGATCGAAGGGAATTCCGATGGGCAGTGCCTTGATATGGACGGTGCGACCTGCCAGCTCCACCAGCATGTTGTTGCGATCCACCCTGCATCCCAGACGCCGCGAGCAGCAGTCGATGAAATTGAGGCAGTAGTCCTCAATGTGGAAGCCCACCATGTCGCAGGCTTGTGCAACATGTCACAAATTATCTATCAGTGATCCCTGGTTGCACTGATTCTGGGATTTAACAGTGGGGCAACAGCGTTCTCTTCTGACAGCGGGTACTCGAATTATGTTCTACTTCATGGAATGAAAGGAGTTTCTCACACCAGGAGATGGGATATCAATATAGCGCAGTTGTGTGATATAACGTATAGTAGGAAAAGTTAAATTGATGATATAAAGGGCAGGTTCTACGAAGAACAAGAACAGGTATTTGATAAATTCCCGAAATACCCTATGAAAATTTTGTTAGGAGATTTCAACGCCAAAGTATGCAGAGAAGGCATTTTCCAACAAACGATTGGGAATGAGAGTTTGCATGACATTAGTAGTAATAATGGTGTTAGAGTAGTTATGAATGTATGAGGGGTAGGCCTCCTCGGCCCTTGCACCGAGACCTACAGTGGTCTATTGTACTTCTTAGAGTAGTTATCTTGGCAACATCAAAAAACCTTACCATCAAATTACAATGTTCCCCACCGCAACATTCATAAATTTATTTGAGCATCTCCTAATGGAAAGATGCAAAATCAAATTGACTACATTTTGATAGATAGGAGACGACATTCAGGTATACCTGATGTCCGATCATTCAGGGCAACAGATTGTGACACTGACCACTAACTCGTGGTGGCAAAGGTTAGGAAAGACTGGGAATGAATAAGCAAACAACACAGAATTCATATGGAGAGGTTTATGCTCAAGGAATTAAACAAGGTAAAGTGTAAGGAGCAGTATCGAGTTGAAATCTCAAATAGGTTCGCAGCTGTGGAAAACTTAGGCACTGAGGTGGATGTCAATAAAGCTTGGGAAACTATTAGAGAGAATTTCAAAATTTCTGCCAAAGAAAGTATAGTTTATTATGGACTGAAGAAGCAAAAGCCATGGTTCGATTAAGGATGTTCAGAATTACTAGACCAAAGAAAACAAGCCAAATTGCAGTGGTTACAAAATCCAAGTGAAATAAATGGGAATAATCTGAAAAATATAAGTCGCGAAACCAACAGCCATTTCAGGAATAGATAAAGGGAATACCTGAAAGTCAAAATTGATGAGCTTGCAATAAACAGTAAGAACAAGAACATTAGAGACCTGTACAAGGGAATAAATGACTTTAAGAGGGGTGACCAACTTAGCAGTAACTTCGTGAAGGATGAGAATGGTGATCTGCTTGTCGATTCCCACATTTTGAATAGGTGGAGGAACTACTTCTCTCAGTTATTCAATTGTTACAATTCAGTTATTCAGTACACCTTCAATATTAACACAACCTCCTCCTTTTCGAATAGATTCCTATTTATTGGTACCTCTACATTTGGGTCGTATACAGGTACCCTTGCATCCCTACATTTACATGGTGGTGGGGCTTATGTAGACGGCAGTATTTTAGTGTGCTGGAAAAGCTATTATAAACCTCAGCAAAGCAACGAAGGAAATGGGACTTAAACGAAATATATGGCAGTAACAAAAAGGCAATCTAATTCGAAAATGCTAAAAGTGGATGACGAGGAATCTGAAAGGGTGAGGGGATTCAAATGACTTGGATCTACTCCAACAGAAGATAATAATGTCACCATTGAAATAAAACAGAGAATTATATATAATGGTAAATCGAGTTAGTAATTGCCTAAAGATATAATTACATTTTCGATATTTAGGGAGACAGACAAAATGTGCTCTATATAAGACTCTTGTTAGGCCTATACTTACTTATGAACGTGAAAGCTGGACCCTAACACGGAAAGATGAAAGTATGCTCCGAATATTTGAAAGAAGGATATTAAGAAGAATGCATGGCCCAATTAAGGAAAATGGTATGTGGGGATCAAGGTATAACCATGAACACTTTAAATTGTATTCTCATGTGTATCCTGCTAAAGCGACAGTAAATAATGGGTTCCGGATTTGATATCTCGATTTATTGGATAACTTCACCCGTCGTAACTATAATTTTTGTTACACTTTCATGAATGCTATATCTATATGACACACATGAACAAGTATAACACTCTCAAGGTTAACACATCAACTACTGAACTGCCTTGAATGACGTCTTCTTGACGAATCCTCGAATCCTCCAGCCTACAACTGCTGAACTGAACTGTCACTTCATTCACTTCACTTATAACAAGTCTGCAATCGTCTCTCGTTCTAGTTTAAGTCAAAGTCACATTGCGACTGACGGTCAGTCAATCAGTAAGTCTTGGTGTCGAACACCCTCCTGGGGCTCATGACCAGATATTTATTACTGTTTGATAGTTATGGTCTTGTTCTTCTGGGACGCCTTCTCTAATGAGAGGGCGGGTCTGTCTTCTGTACATGCTGCTGGCCCTTGCCAGTGCAGTATTTCTTGGGTCTGAGTCCCTTGAGACTCACGACCATACTTTACTGTTTCACATTCGAGACTTCCCTTTTCGTCGCCTCCTACAACTTGCAGGGTCACGGTGGGGGTCTAAGCTATAACAGATATTCGTTATATAAGCTTCACAAGGACCACATAGAAAATATCTTTCGTTCTTGACTCCTATTGTTGTAACGCACTCAACTGATTGTTATTTACAGGTCGGTCGTGTAACAAGTCTTCAAGGAGTGTATTCTTGTGACGTCACTTTATTACTCAACGCCATAACTACAATTCAACGTAACTATAACACAAAATGTTGAACAAGTCGTTTCACAGTCGCTCCTTTCATATTAACAACTCTCAGTATACTGTAGAACTGTCGAACTCTCCGTGCTGGCTTCCACTGCCTTCTGTCTGGCTTCTACTGGCTCCCACTGCACACTGGGTCCTTCTCTTCCACTGCTCTCTGGCTGCTTGTCTGGATTCACAACACACACACACAAAACAGTTCACATACTGTTCAGCCGGCCTCTTATATTTTTCCCGGTTGCCACGTAGTAACAGCGGTCTCCCTTGTTGCGTCACAGTGAGAAGTGCTGTTATGCCACCGCGGGGAGGGGCAGAGTGTTTACTGGCCTGTTACCATAGCAGATGTTACGTCACTGCTGGCAACGCGTGTTACCGCGTAGCGTGGAGTCCACGATCCTCAACAAGGTCGTGCCTAGAAACGGCGATTTTTCTACTGTTGCCTTTTGTGGGGTATTTACCTGTTCGTTGCCTAGCAACGCTCTGGCCATCCACTTTACAATATAACTCACCAGATATAGTGAAAATGATCTAAATAGGGAGGTTTTGATGGCTGGGACAAGTTTTCAGAACGCAGGAGCAGAACCCTTGCAGTATGCTAATTATACATAAACCAGAGGGCACTTAGGGAATAGGCAGATCTGCTATGTGGTGGTTCGATTGTGTTGAAGAAGATATGGATGATGTGAGATGAAAATCACAGGATCGGAACCAATGGCGAGCAATCTAAAAGATGCCAAGGTTCATCATGGACTGTAGCGCACACAGAAGAAGAAAGTAGAAGGAAGAAGACATAATGTGGATATTCGTTCTTCTCCGAGTAAACATCTCTTGGTAAACTATGTAAACAGCAAGCAGTAATGATTATTTTATCACATGCATCAGGAATCACAGATATTCTGGTATAAAAGATTCTGAAAATCTGACACAGAAGTTCAACTGTACGTATTTCCTTTAACACTGCGAGAATGAGTCAGCCTGTGGCTGAATACAGAATTTTGTTTATTCGCATTTGCTGATTTCTAGTGTATGTGCAAACGGAATGCTTTATCTCGCATGATGATGCAGTCCAGAATTATATCTCAGCAAGAAGTCACACAGCCATAGGAGAGAGCTGCCTAAAACGTACATTTCCCTATTTTCGACTTGCTGAGAATTCCATTGCTACCGTCTTTTCCATTGACCCACCGCTGATTTCAACAAATTTAGAATTTGAATCAACCACTGTTACCGAAACCTCGTCCCTTTCATCGCAACTTTTAATTTAAGAAATCAAAAAGTCAGCTAATGCAAAATCAGGAAAGTAGGTTGGATGAGATAATGCGGGGATCCCTTGTTTCGCCAAAATCTCGGAAAGGATCCCCAAAGAAAGTGCCCGTGCATTGACGTGCAGAAGATACCAGAACTCACTTTCCTGAATCTCAGGCCTAACGCGATGAACTCGAGCGATCAATCTCTTAATCGCCTCTTTAAAAAAATTACCGTGTACAGGCTATTTTTCTGGAACAAATTCATGAAGAATTATGTATATTTAGCATAAAAATGAAGTCAACATTATTTTCACATCCGATTTTTGCATTATCATTTTCTGAGTTCTCGGTTTATTTGGACTCAACAAAGTTGCATTTTGACATACTGTTTCTGGATCCTACATGAAACACCAGATTTTATCACCCGTTCCAATCCTTTTTCAACGTTTCTATCGTTATCAATCATTTAAAAAATTTAAACAGACGATGCAGCGCGTTGATGTTTTTGATCCGGCATTAATAAATGAGGAAGAAAATGAGCACAGACTCTTTCTTCTTGAAATTTTCGACTAATATCTTATGTGCTGTCTCTCTATTGGCCCCTGTCATTTCGTCTAACATCCGAACATTCAAAGTTCGATTTTAGGGCAAATGTCCGTCGATTATTCTTCTCTGGAAGTTGTAGGATGGCCTTTCTGTTCATCGCCTTGTAACGACTCTCGCCATTCTTTGAATCTTTTATGCCATTCAAACACATTTGTTCCTGATAAACCTTCTTCACCGTATGCACTTTATTAGCTAATCTTGTTCCGTTTTGAAACTTTTGACACAACGGAAAAACTGACTTCACCTAAACAACTGTAATCCTCATATGCATCAACCAAACAAGATGAAACTTGCACATCATACAAATTAACGCTCTCCCGTTCATCCCCATAGATGGCGCTAGTAGTGTTACTGTGAACTTAACTGTCCCACTCTAAGTGTCCGAAGGACTCTAGCATAGAGCTTGTTGGACATAATGAATGAAGATAATTTTCTACTGAAAATGTTATAAACGTAG